CTGAAACAAACATAAAAAAAAAAAAAAACGCCTTAAAAGACACTCAATATGTATGCATTGAGAGCAAAAAACAAATCATTCTCTTCAATTTTAATTCAAAATTTTTCATTTCGATGTAATAAATATTATTATTATTATTTTTTAAATCGATTGCTTTAAAACGAGTGCAATCTCATCGAGAATTGGCTCCGACTCGTTTCACACGAGCAACCTTAAAAAACGGCGGTAAATTTAAAAAATAAATTTGGAAAACATGAAATTTGAATTTATATGTATCATAACAACAATAATTTGTAAGCTGTTTTTTTTTTTTTTTTTTTTTTTAAACGGTTTGTAAAGATGATAGATATTGTTGCCGTTAGAACATTTTTTTTTTTTTTTTTTTTTTTAAATGGCTGAATAAAAACGGTTCGATACTAATTTTGGCACCAACTTTAACATTACGCACGCACACAAATCAAAAAAAGAATAGAAAATTTAAAATTTGTCATTAATTGTTTTCGAGTCAATAAGAAGATTCCTAAAATGGACTTTTAACGCAATATGCCTCTGACGTCAGTAATTTATTATCCGTGGCGACTAATAAATTTTTTTTTTTTTCTTTTCTTTTCCTCATAATTTTACTACTACAACTACAACTACAACTACCACTACTACAACGCATACACAACTCTTAACACTCAACAAACAAACAAACATACATAATTTTTATACAATTACTTTTTATTGAAATGCCTTCATTACGATTTAAATAAAAATACATCTTAATTAATTTTTTTTTTTTTTTGGGGGGGGGGGAAGCTGCAAACAAAGTCTTCTTAGTAATAATTTATAATAATTGTAATAAATTACTTTTACATTGACATTAATATGAAAAGTTTACAAGTAGCACATTTATAAATTTCAGGCACATTTGGTCAGGGTTAAATTTAAATTAAAATTAAAATTACTACTAAATACGTTTTTTTTTTTTTTTTTTTTTTTTTTTTTTGTTAAATTTCAATTACTCGCCTAATAAGTGTCATTTCGAAGGTTTACTTGCAATGTTTCAATTTTTTTTTTTTTTTTTTACAAACAACCGGATTGTTCGATTTCGGATTTTTTCTATTAAACAGACACAGGGTGTCGTCAATCGTAAGGAAACGTGAGAGAATTCTTATTCCAACAAAAAAAAAAAAATATATAAAGTGTACAAGTGCAAAGCAAGTGAACTGTAATTTTTTTTTTCTTTTTTATTTTGAATCGAAATTCTTCGTAAAATCCATTTCTACTTTAACACACAAAAAAAAACCCCACTTGTAAACATCAAAGTTCTTGGAAATATTTCGGTAAAGGTATTGTAATTGTACAAATTTTACCTGTTGATGCCACCTTATACTTATGGGTACGATGTATTTTTAATTTTGAGAAAAAAAAAAAAAAATTCCGCCTTGTACGTTTTCAAACGACTCACAATTAAGTTAATCAAAGAGCAAAGAAAGAAAAAAAAAAAACATATTTTCTCATTCAAAAGCGAACAAGAAGAGAGAGAGAGAGAGAGAGAGAGAGAGAGAAAAAGAAATGATCCATTCAAAATAGAAAAGCACTACCCACGACAAAGAATTACCAACCAACCAACCAACCAACCAACCAATGGCTTACTCATCAATTTGACATTTGAAATATTTTATTTACGACCGATTCCAGGTATATATACACTGACAATAACCTTAAATTTTCTTTTATGACCCATGCATGCCATGGATCGTCATTTTTACCCACATCGATGATATTAGAAAGGGTCGTTGTTTCTTCTCTCTCTCTCTCTCTTACCCGTGCACGTGAAAATTCACAACTACTATTTTTTTTTTTTTTTACTTTATTTACCGATTCATTTGAGGCCATTTTTTAAAATCGCATTCCCTATTACGAACACTGCAACGAGAAAACTATATTACAATCCGTTTGCAAATTTTTCCTAGACATCTTTACAACATTTTAAACCTAGAAAATTTACTTTTTAAAGAAAATTCGAGTTTTGTCTCACTTTGAGCCTCACATTCCTTAACGAAACGTAGCAACAGCGTTCTCAAGTTAAGAAAAATATTTTCTTTAAATGATAAAATTGATTACTAACACAGAAACGCGAGATAAGAGTGTAAAATGTTCAGCAGATGAAATTTGTCGAAGAAACGATATTTGTATTATTTTTTTTTTTTCCGTTACGTTCCCTTCACGATATTAATTAATTAATAATAATAATAATAAATTCTTCGTTTAACTCAAATTGTAAACAAAACAAATAAAAACAACAACGACGACGACAACACGCACGACAGATTTTTTCTCTGTTTTTATCGTTTCGTTTTACCTGACGTCTTGATAATATAAATTATATAATTAGGTACACATTTTTTATAAAGGTTCGACGTAAACAAAGTCGATCGAATATTAAACCTTTTACATACCTTTAATGAATCAAATTACATTTAAATATAAAAATTATCGTGACTCTAAAAAAAAAACCAAGCCAACAAACGGGAGGGGGGGGGGCAAATTTCTAACGCTCTTTAAATTTTGATTAATTGGAAAAGCTATTATTCCCCCCATTCCCTCCTACCCCCAACCCCCTTCCTCCCTTCTTTTATTCATCATCATACGAAACCCACGTTTAAATTTAATCATTTCAAATATTTTAATATCTATGAATATAGAAGAGAAAAAAATCAAATTTTGTATTACTTTTAATAAAATCTCTCAACAAATATTTTATTTTAAAATAATCAAAACAAAAACACAAAAACTTTTAATTTCAAAGAGTGAGCTTTCATTAAAAAGCTCTTTTCCTTTGGCTTATCTCCAAAGAGAAAATTTTTTTTTTGACTGAGTGAGTGAATGAATTCAATGCATATTATTATGTACAAAATTATAAACTTTCCATTTTATTTAAAGAATCCATCAAAAGTATACAGAAACGGTATGTTACACACACACACTTCCATATAACTAACACACTTGATTTCTAACCTTCGAGCCATGATAATAATAATAATAATAATGATTGATATGAGTATGTATTTAAAAAAATTGCAAACAAAAACAAAACAATCGTCAGCTGATTTTATTATTATTATTATTATTATTATTATATCACCCTCGAGTTATAAACAAATAATTTTTCTCGTTTGACGAGTTTAAAACGTTTGACGGATGGAAATTTTTTCTTTTTCCTTTTTTTTTTTCCGTTTAATGTCTCACAAATTACGCTACACGTAAACGTGGATAATTCATTAAAAAAAAAAAAAAATTTTAATTCAAATAAAGCAAAGACCTAATTTTTGCGGGCGCCATGTTTCACGCTTCACGTTTAACAACAAATCGATACCTAATTAATGTTAATTTTCACGAGAAAAAAAAAAAAAAGAAAGAAAGAAAAACAACAACAACAACAACAACCTGTTGTGTCCTCAAAATTTTTTGCATCGTCCCAAAAAAAAAAAAAAAATGTAATGCATTTTAATTATTATTATTTTTTTTTCTTTTTTTTTTTTTTTTTTTTACCCAAAAAGGAACAGACAAAAAAAAGAAAACTGTAAAATGTATTCTGCTCGTATTCACGGGACTAAAATGCTGACTTTTACAAGTTTACATTATTATTATTATTATTATTAACCCAAACTCATGGATGACCTAAATTATATTACGAGAAATGAGTTCAAAAAAAAAAAAAAAATTCAATGAATGTTCGCAAAACTGAAATCATGTCAAGTAACCGAGTTAAAAAAAAAATTTCGAGTACTTCACGTGTCAGCAAATTATATTATATACACATATGTTTCAGCAAAAAAAAAATAAAAATCTAACGAGCCTGAAAATGTTCGACGTTCGATCGACGTTTGAAATTAACTAACAAACTAACTTTTTTTTTTTTTTTTTTTTTTTTTGGAATATTTATTCGTTAACTCCCAGATAATTGAGTTAAAGTAGGTTTCAATTAACATTATACCGCTTTAAATTTTTTTTTTTTTTTTTTTTTTTTTTTTTTTTAGGTGTTGATTACGTGAAAATAAATTCTAAGGTGAAATTACGCAAAAAAAAAAAAAAATCTGGCCTCAAAGTACACACAACGTTACATACTTCTCTGACAAAAAAATTAATAATAATAATAATAATAGCAACCATGTGATTTTCTTTTCCATTCGAAACTCATCGGGGAAAAAAATACATTTTCTAACAAAATCTAACAAAATCTTTTTAAAACAATTCAAAATTTATGAATGACGACACAATCAATAACACATACAACCATCATGTTTACGTATTAGCGAACGAAGAAAATAATATTCGAAAGCTTTTTATACAATACTCTAACTTCGTCTTACAGAAAGCTCCGAGCAAAGAAACGAAAAAACAAAAAAAAATATTCAACCGAATTCTAAGCGGCGGTTGATTCAGGTCGAATCAAAGGTTAAGGGTTCAAATATTTCTATTAAAAGAATAATAATAATAATCAATTAGTTCTATAACCGCATCTCGCAGCTGGGTAATGGAAAGAAGCCCCAAAAAAAAAAAAAAAAAAAGATACTTTTTTTTTTAAAAACTCTTGATGCCATAAAAAAAAAATTTTTTTAAATTAGTCGCACTAAAAAATTTATAAACGAAAAGAATGTCTGTGTATATATAAAATAATCATGTTTCTCTTCACGCATTTATATATTCATATATAAACAAATATATACACAAAATGATATGTATAAATACATTACTATTAAATTCATTCCAACGTTCGTTGGAAAACACGTGTACTACACGTTTAAAAAAAAGTTTCTTTTTTAATTTTTATTTTTAAACGTTTCTTTTCTTCGTTTGTCACCCAATGGTTACCTCCTGTTTGAAAACAAACAAACAAACAAACGAAACGCCGCACATTTTAAATAATTTCATTGTTTTATTATACTTTATTAAAAAAAAAAAAAAAAAATTATTTATTTAAAATACTACGCCATCCATGTTTAGAATAA